GATTGTTCCCCGTACGGCAATGATTCGATCCAGATCTTTGACGAATATGTCCAAACCTTTATACAGCTGTCTCAAAGGCAGTTGTAAAGGGCTTAAAAATAAATCAGGCATGGGTTTTTTGTCGCCAAACCAAAGAAGAACCAACAACATATTTTCTAATTTATAGCGTTCAGTGTAAGGAAGTTCCAAAATGATAAGGAAAAATCCCCATATGTTGAACTTCGATGATTTAAATATCCGGACACCATCAGTATACCACATAAAACTGATATTATTTTCATGTGATAATATACCACCAACTTTTTGCAAATCTTTGTATATAAAACCATCCGTTACATCTGCAATATGATTATCAAAATCAATATGATTTTTTTGGTGAAGTTTCTTGAAGAAACCTGGCCGCTGGTATAATGATTCTAATTGTCGTGTAACTGAAACTTCAATAAAGTATTTTTCTTTTGTACAATCACAGCTAGTAGGTTTTTCTGAAATTTCCTCAGTATCGAGCGATTCGTCGTGGTTTACATCGGAATCATCATTACAGATTAATGATACACAATTTTCACAGTAATGATGCTTGACAAATATTTCCTCATCCTTAGCTTTGAACATTTTTTTAAATTTATACAAACTCGTTGGACATTTATTATGCTTAGGCAAAATAAAAGCAATGAGCTTCAGGATTTTACGAGTGTGAGAGTCTGCTAGTTTTGTACTAGATTTTAGAAGACCTAATAATAACGAGAACTCTCTAACTGTAATGTGCGATCCTGGGTATAATTTTTCATCCAATTCAGAGTCATTGCAGATATTGCTTTCATCTTCAAAACTCATTTCACTGCTGGAATCGCTCTCGTTATCAGAATAAACATCATCTTCAATATTATCTGCGATAGAATTGTATGATCGTATAATTGTACAATTATAAATATACATGGTTGTTATTTCATATTAAATACCATAAGCGTATCGTTTTCCTCCTTTGTTCACATTTGGAAAATCATTTAATCCGTAATCTTCCACTAGACTTTCTTCAGTATATAGCTCATCACAGCACTCAGGAATATTCAAACCTATAAAAAAGAATATAGAAATTCTTAAGAATAGTCAATTCACAAAAATTAAATCTAAACCTATCAATGAATTCAATTGTTTTTAAATTTGAGTATATGTTAGCGACTATCGCGTAGTCGCAGCCGCACGGGTTGCGCGCGTTGCATACAAGTGACCGAGAGAGGGGAGCGAGGCGACGAAGCTCTATAGCTCGAGATGAATTCGGCCTTGCCGTCGCCGTTAAGGTAGAACGAGCGCATGGCCACCGCCCGATGCTTGGATTTGATGCGCCAAGCGGTTCGACCGCACTCGTAGACGCCCAGGGCGTCGCTGGCCTCGCTCGCCGTCCCATAGGATAATTGTCGTCCACTCTCATTAACTCAATTCGGGACGCGCCGCTGGTCAACATCATTGAGCTAGTTGTTAGATAAATCAAAACGCTGTACTCCTTAAAAGCTGGACCGACCTCTCGAGCTCCTCAGAGTATTCAATCTTTTCGTGCAACACGCTGATCGAGTTGAAGGCCAACTGCTTCCTGAGCAGCGTGTGATGAACTGCTGGTAACAATGTAAGTAGTACTTGGTGCTGTCGTTACTCTGCTAACAACATACGTGCGAATTCTCGCAGCTGCCCGGTACACGGTGACTGGTCGAATCTCGCAGGATTAAGTACGCGCTGCAGCGCTGGCGTCGAGGTAAATTTTCCGTCGTGATCGCGATGCTAGCCACTACCGTGATCGTAGAATTCGTTCTCTAGACCCTCGTAGACCCTCCCGTTGAGCGACTCGTACTGCTTTTCACTTATCGATACTCGCCTGTACTTGACACCTGTTATGTGTCTCAGTAAACACATAAAATGTAAATAAAGTCTTGTACCTATAATGATGTATACTAGAACTATACTAGTACTAGAGCGATCTGACTATGCTTTATTTAACTTACAATACACGGAACATAAAAAAACTGTATTTGTAAATATATTAATTCTACTTTATATCTAGAACCTACATGCATGTCATCATCTCTTGTGAATTCAGAAATCTCATCTTCTCCTGGAAGTTCCTCATATTTGTTGCGAAAAAACTTTTCAGAACGTCTTTTTATTTCTCTACAATAATCTTTAAATGATGTTGGTCTTTTAGACATTTTTAAGCGAAAAAAATAATTGTAACCTCTTATTGTGTTTGTGTACCGTGAACCGACAGAAGTATGCATGTATATGCAATTACACGTGAGTATACAATTTTCAATTCGATGTTCAATTGATTGTTTATGCAAATAATCAATGCTAAAAACGAACGCAAGTTCGTCGTTTTAACGCTAGTTAATCGTTATTACTTGGTAAAAAATAAAATAGTTAATCGCTATTATCTTTATTGTCTATCCTTCAAAATGTTTGTCCTCGTTTTTTGGATTGAAACGAAGGAGGTGAGCATTGTGAGGCAAGAAGACTTATGCTCAGATGCAGCAGAAACACAGGAATGCATGGTTATGTATAAGGATAAAAAAAATACAGAGCTGTAGCAATAAAAAAAAGCTGTGAGTAATTAATTTACTTACTTTTAATAAATTTATTTTCATAAAATATAATTGATAATATTCAGGGGATGAAAACTATTTGGCTACTATTAAAGTTGACACGGAGGGTAATATTTTACCGATAAAAGCAAACAGCAGCAAGGCATCGAAAGCTTCTAGGCAGAAAAAATTGCACAACTTGCCTAGCATATTTGACGATTCGGAAAATAGGTGAGTTAAAGAAAACATGTGTTTATAAAATTAAGAAATTTTCATTGATATTTTTTTAAAGTGAGAAAGAAAATATTGAGCCGATTTCCAAAAAATTGAAGAGAGCTGATGTTGGAGAGAGCGATGGAGAATATGGATTGGGTTATGAAAATGACGAGGAAAAACAGGGAAATCAAGAGAGACGCGAGCGAGAGGATCGAGAGAGACGCAAACGAGAGCAACGAGATAGACGCGAGCGAGAGGATCGAGAGCGACGCGAGCTTGAATACCGAGAGAGACGCGAGAGAGAGCAACGAGAGAGACGTGAGCGAGAGGATCAAGAGAGACGCGAGCGAGAGGATCGAGAGAGACGCGAGCTTGAAGATCGAGAGAGACGTGAGCGAGAGGATCAAGAGAGATGCGAGCGAGAGGATCGAGAGAGATGCGAGCTTGAAGATCGAGAGAGACGTGAGCGAGAGGATCAAGAGAGACGCGAGCGAGAGGATCGAGAGAGACGCGAGCGAGAGGATCGAGAGAGACGTGAGCGAGAGGATCAAGAGAGACGCGAGCGAGAGGACGAAGAGAGACGCGAGCGAGAGGACGAAGAGAGACGCGAGCGAGAGGACGAAGAGAGGCGCGAGCGAGAGGATCCAGAGAGGCGAGAAGATCGAGAAAGACGCGAGCGAGAAGTTCGAGAGAGGCGAGAAGATCGAGAGAGACGCGAGCGAGAAGTTCGAGAGAGGCGAGAGCGGGAACAGAATGACTGAGATAGAAGAGAAAGAGAGAGACAAGTAAGAAAACGGAAAATAAAATTTTAGTTATATTTTATTAATTTTTAAAATTTTTAACCCTAGCGAGCCGGAAATGCAAACCAAGTGGATCCTCTCGAAGAATGTCGCATCTCTGGCCCTGGAAAAGTTCGGCTGTGTAGGGAATACAATGTATGGATCAATGAAGCCGACATCACATACATGCAACGCTGGCTAGATAACCCGAGAGAGCTAGTCCGGCGTTTATTGAAGAAATTGGTCGGTGAACATTATTTGATGTACATGTGCGCTCGTGGCAGATCCAGGAATACTCAAGCCATACCCGCAGACATCATAAGTGCTGTTGAATGTAAGTCTTATTCTTTTCTTATATTCTAATATAAAAAGTATTCTTTTCATAATTTTAATTATATGGTTTATTTTACAGACTACGTAAATCGCAGGTGCACATCAACGCTGAGAGTCGTCGACTTTACCAACGTCATAAATATGATGTGTGCGTCTCTTCGAAATCCAAGGAGATGAACAATATTATAATTGATTATTATTTTATTACTATTAATTTAATGTATTTGTTATTCCAAGTGTGCTGATTAATAAATCATTTCATTCAGCATTAGATCTGTATGATAGTTCAAATTTTCATACAGGGTGGGGAATAAATATGGAAACCCCTGGAAATTTCGCAGAATAAGTTGGGAAAAAAAATCAAAAACCTCATATCCGACGTATTTTTTCACGGGGAATCCAATGGTGACCTTGAATTTNATATTTTTTTAAATTCGATGTGCAATATATTGTGAATATATATTTACTTTTTTTCAAAAATAACGTGCAATATATGTGCAATATATATGCAGTATATGAGCATGTGTATATTTGCCACTATTAGTGCAATATATTGGCAATTACTGCGCCGATATATTGCAAATATAAATCGCCAATATATTGCACATATATGGCCAATTGATCTGATTTTTACGCGGGTATTTACAATGATGTGTTACTTAATAATTGAAAACTTGACATATACGTAACAGCAACAACTCTTTTAAAAAATACCTTTTGTTTCATTAATCTCTACACTTCTTCTTTTTTACTTTATTAATATTTCATTTTCATACAATAAGATTTTTCAAGTAAATATGCAGGAAAAACTATAGATAAAAAAGAAAAAACCAAGAAAATGTTTTAATTCAGTTATAAAAAATGTATTAATCATACTTATTTAATTTTTAAACTCATTGATGACTTTCAAATTTCATAATAAATGGAAATCTATTGTATTTCTACTAATACTCAAAGAAAAAAAGCAATAAATTACGTTATTTGCTTCATTTAAACATTATGTGAATACATTGTATTGACCCAAGTTTATAATTTATTAGTACATATTGTGCTTTATTGGTGCTATGCTTATAGAACATATAAATATCAATCTATAGACAAAATGAATATTTGTCTCCGTTAGTTGTCTAACAGTTTCACTTACTTTATTGATGAAATACAAGTTGAGAATAATGAAACTTATTTTTTTACTACTGTGCGTTACTTTCGGGCGTGCAAAATGTAAGAGATTTAACTAGACGCGGTTAAATAAAAAATATTTATTTATTCATTTCCAATATTTCAGCGGCAAAAGAATACGTTGTTAACGGGGAAAATGCAAAGATCGGGGAGAGACCATTTCAAGTAAGTAATGCATTTTAGTGTTACATCTACAACTTTTTTGTTAAAAAGTGAAATTTTAATGTAAATAAAGATTTCGCTTCAAGAAGGAAGTAGCCATTTTTGCGGAGGCTCCATTATAAATAAAAACTACGTTTTAACTGCATCCCACTGTGTCAGCCATCTCAAAGAGTGAGTAGAATGTGAATCGAAACAAGAACGCCTTCAAAACGTTTTGGGTTTCGCTTCAATTGTCAATGTAGTCGATTGCTACTTTTGTGGTCAAAATACGGCCGTTGACATTGCTAATAACTACTTTATACTCGCCTTATACTACGTGCAATTTATTACCTACTACGGGATTACAACCGACATAACTATATTAACTGGTCGTACTTTTAGCTAGTGTTGAAAAAGTAATATATTTTTATTTCATCGTTCGAGGAATAATGAAATGTTTCAACTTTGTGTTCAGTGATGCAGTTTCCAACATTCGTATAGTAGCAGGCACGATTTTGCACAAAAAACCTGGTAGTGTTCATAAGATTGAAAAAATCATCATGCATGAAGGCTACAATCCATCTGACTCGTACAGAAATGACATAGCATTGATTAAAGTTGTGGAGCCCTTCAAATTTTCCGTAGAAACTCGACCCGTTCCATTGCCAAAGCAACACGAAAGTACCAGACCCGGCAGTCGCGCTACGCTTTCTGGTTGGGGTTATCTACATCTTGTGAGTTTAATGATGAATTAAATGAACAATGAATTCAAATGACAACCTTACGCGAGGAAATTGTTTGAAATGTTAAATCACGACGTTTCATGCACTGCAGAATGGCGGGATCCCCGATATTCTACAGAAGGTAAACATTGCCGTTGCCGATCAAAATAAATGCCGTAAGGCGATAGACAGCGCGGAGAGGGGATTAACCATCCACCCGACAAACATTTGCGCTTTCAATCCACGACGCAGACAAGGCCAATGCAGCGTAAGTGTCAAGTACTGCTACCCATTGCCCAGCATGATTCGCTTTCCTAAGGTAAAATAATGTGTATGTACTTTTAGGGCGATTCCGGCGGTCCATTGACGGTTGATGGAAAACTCGTAGGCGTCGTTTCATGGTCGTATAAAGATTCGGATTGCGCCAGCACGATCTATCCTGGTGTTTATACTCGTGTTGCCGAATACGTCGATTGGATCAACAAAAACACGCAGTGAAAATTTGTCGAACTAATTAATATTTGTGTTAATAAATTTCCTATATCGAGTGAATTGTTTTAACTCATTTTATGTTAAAGATTTAGTGCGGGAAAAGAAAAAACTTTCTGTTTGATGTTTAAAAAGTGAAATTCTGCTGAAAACAAAAAGAGCTATTATATAAAATTCAGATGTTTTTTAGATGGGCGCTTAGACGACTATAGTTTGAAATTTGCATATTTGACATTTTAGAAAGCTTCATTGCAAGTTAATCTTTCGGTTGCACCGTCAAAAAACTTCATCGTAGCATTGAAGTTCCCTATGTCTTATGGAATCTGGTGGAAAGATGACTTCATTACAACTGCAGAAAGGAAGATTAAATCGGCTGCAACTCATTATAATAAAATTTCAAGTATAAATCAGAGCAAAAATGAAAGTATTAATATCAAAATAAATTTGTTTTTAACTATACAGTGCAGAACCTTATTTGACGAGGCAAAAATTGTATCATTTGTTTGTTTCCTTAAAAACTTCATGAATGAAAGCGAAGACGATACGCAGAGAGAAGAAAAAAGTAGATATCGACGCGCGAGCATTGCCGGCTATAGAAAGTTCAATAGCAAGAATGCGAAATAGAATGAGAAATAACGACTAAATGATCGGGGAGAATTTCAACGATAACGAGCACAGAACTTATCGACGAGTCTCTATCGAGGCTTTCATTTCACTCCTTCGATACGTGCAGCAGCCGCATATATACATATTAGAGCTGGCTTTGCACGTGTGTATAGTGCAATGCCAGCAGCACATCACGCGCGTCTTTTACTTTATGAGGCCACTCTCTCATCGGCTATGGGAGGGAGGGAGGAGGCTACAGGGTTGAAAACGACTCTCGATGCAAGAGAGCGCACATCGAGGGCAATGCGGACATTAAATTTGAGGAGGTTCCCCGACTTGTATATATAGAGAGCGTGTATACGCTGGTGTTATAATACCCAGGCTGTGTTCAGGCGCGTTATTATTATACGCGCCCGCGCGCGCGATATAACCTGCCCTGAGAATTTCTGGATGAAAGCAGGAGAATGTGCGCGCGAGCACTCAAAGTGCGCTCGCGATATAACGCGCGTGTACCTAAAGGGTTATTAAAACGCTTAAAGAGTCTCGATGTCTGCTGTACGATGGGCAAAATTCCGTCTACGTCGTAACGTTAAATTATCCTGTGCGCCACCGCGGCCCTACGCTCGCTATTGATTTGTAAATTGAGCATTTTTTATCGATTTCAAGCAAAATACAGTTTTTAAGTCGAGCTGGCGCTATGGAAAAGACGTGTCTTATAATCGTAACACCGTCAACGAAATCGGATACCACATGATCATTTTAGAAACATCGTAAAAGTACTCCTGTTTTGAGTAGCTTGAAGATGAAAAAAAATCTACGGAGCACATCATTATTTTTCGCTGCAAAAAATAGAGAGGGAAGGTAATCTCGTAAATGCTCGATTGGATAGAAAAATGAAAGTTCGCAGAACCGACGTTTTCCTTGTGCTCATCTTAACTCTTATCGTGTCCGAATAGTTGCGTGCGCAGCAGTTTTTATATATAATAACGCAGCCTTATTAAGAGATGACTCATCGTATTTTCTTTTTATATCTCTATTTTATGTATTGGACGCTTAATGATCGAAGGCTAAGAATTTGAGTGTATGAAAATGCTACGATAATACTCGATTTAGGAAAACGTTACTTATTTTGCTAAGAAGTCCATATTTTATTTAATGATTTGTTGAACAAAATGTGTAAGGGATGACTTTTTATTATTTTAAAATTTAATCTCTCTCTTGTTTTGACGAACTACACCAAACGAAAAAGTATCTCGTCTATTTATATCGGCTCATATAAGATGAAAGTTATTGATAAATAGATCATTACCTGCATATCTATAGATACTTTATTGAATCTTGATTATAGGTGCTTGAAGTCAATGTAGAATTTTTTCCAATGCTACCATTTTTTTTGTAAAAATTATGAAAGCCTTAAAATTATGAATTTTTCAGGAAAACAAATAATAGGTCGCATTGAAACAAAAAATTTTACAGCTCTATTATCTGGAAAGAAGGCAAAAAAGTCGCCCAACGTGGGGCTCGAACCCACGACCCTGAGATTAAGAGTCTCATGCTCTACCGACTGAGCTAGCCGGGCAATTGAGGTGTATAAAGAAAATGTGAAACATTCTCATTTATGTAACATACTTTTGAATAAAACATGATAATTGAAGAATGTACCGTTTCAAATTTTATATTTAATATAATTTGATTATTTAGCCCCAAGAGTTGAATGAACTAATATTAGGGTCATTTATTTACAATTCAATAATTAATTTTCATCAGAGTTAATAATATAAACCATCGTTATTAATTATCACTATTGTATTTATATTAATTATAAAAAAATGAATGCCTTATAAGTAACCCAATTTTACTGTAATTTATACGAAATTGTTCATTTAGTCTTTCAGAGTATCTATTTAGCCAAAATCTTTATTAACAGTTTCAGTCAACTACATAATAATCATATAATTTATTGAACATTTTGAAAAATCATACAGCAGATGTAAATAAAAAAACAATTTAAGGAGGCTGTAGCGATGCAAGGTGGTTCTGTATTAAAACGCTGTATGCGTAAGGCTATATACGTTACGCAGCGCACAGCGTTAGCATGGTAGAACGTAGGGGAAATGTGCTGGACTCTTAATATCTTTTGAAAATAGTTGTAAACAACTATTTATAATTATATCATTCGACAGCAAATGAGATTTCCTATAACATATATTAATTTCATTAACTTGTAAAGTGATTTGAGCTCACAGTACACTAAAAACTGCCACTTCCCATACAATTCAATGTTAAAAGGCCAAAACGTTGAATCTCATTATTTCCCAAGTTTGCATGGAAACCCCAAATTTTTTTTTACCAAAAATCTTGTAAATTCGTAAACTATCATAGGTTAAAATTTCACTTCGATCTGAAGTTTTTTTCATTTTCGCTACAGCCTCCTTAAGTGTTAAAAAATGTAATATATAATTGTGAAATGGACACTGATATGCGAAAATGTATTCAAATATATTATAGATATTTTGAATATTCCAAATAATATGAGAACAGTCCTAGGTTTTTTGATGCAATTTACTCAATATTATGAAGCCTTAGACAAACATTCAAAATATCGAGCAAGTGAAAGAGCTGTAGTACTCGATGAATGAGATTTCGTGGAGTCGCAAGAAAAAAAATGAATGAATATAAAGAGGGCCTGTTTTATTAGAGAGTACATTTGACTCTCTTTGCATAAATCTTATCTTGGTACGGATAAATTTCAAATACCGACTGCACTCTGAAAACTATAGCAGAAGTTCCGAAAGAGGAGAGGTAAAATATAGGAAATGGCTCTTTAATTAATTAAAAGGCTTTCCAGACTTTCTACCAGTTCTATGATTCTGATCACTTACAAATAGTGTTTATATTGTCAGCGTGTCTAGCGTTAGGTTTACGATTCTCTTTATTTATTCTGGATGGTCGAATAAATACTCGAAATTTATCTAAAATATTTTCATTCGAATTATTTTCCTCTAAGGTCAAAAGACTCCATAACTTTGACGAGACGAAAAATCAAATAAATGAGACAACATTTGCATTCAGTGGTAAATCCCCACACAATTAATCCATGTATTCGCATACATAAGAGGATCGATAAAAAGCCTCTGCTATGAGCTCAAATACGCTGCATCCTTCGATTTCTCCGGATACACCTATAAAGGTATAAGAGCTGTCGTCGTCGTCGTCGTCGTCGTCGTCGCAGCAGAGGTTTTTTACAACTGCGATATAATCGAGAGGCTTTGCACGGGCGTTCTAGAATTTATATATACGGGAAATTTTTATCAAAGCCTCGCAAAGGCGTGTGCGTCGTAGTCGAGCTTTCGCAGTAGTACGCGCTTACGACTTACTCTCTCTCTCTCCCGTTTTTCCCTACGCGGTCGAGCATTTACGGGAACCAAGTTTTTATGAGTATAACGTCGTTTCTTATACAGCGTTCCGACCATATATGCGTATAATATAGATATACACACAGGCGCTTGATACACATACATCCGCATGTAGTTCAAGTTTATACTTGATTCAAGCCGCGCGGGTTACCGTCTATCAGATCGTAGCTAGGCATCCTCTTTCAAATATTGCATACGACTCTAATAACTTGCCTTGGGATATTTTGATTAAAATTATATTGACTTGTTCCTTTTTTTTCTTAACGGACTTGCTTTGAATTTTTTTTCTTATACAAAATTCAAAAAGTGCAACAGTACATTTACACACGCGCGTGAACGTGGTCTTATTTCACGCGCACCACTTGACCGATCTGTGTCTCTCGGAGCTGACCTCGTTCCCTCTTAAGCAGAAAAAAGAGCATCGCGAGAGAGTGGAAGTTAATTAAAAAAAAAGGGAGGAAGAAAAAAAGGAAAAGCAAAATGGAAGCTGGCGAATACTAGCCTCGTAATCGCAGGATTGGCAAAATTCATCAATGACTGCGACGGCGTATGCAGCGCACTGTTTCCTTTAGCTCGGACGAAAAAGTTTTCTCTCGCTCTTTTGCCGAGCTTGCGAGCGGCAAGTGAGTCATAAATAAAACTAGCCGGGCAAAACAAGGCTATCCCTTTTCGACTGTATACTTATATGCGGAAACGAAAAGCAGTAAGCAGCTGAAGCTTTCACGTAACGACACTCTCGGAATTGAACAAATCACCGTTTAAATCTTTCTTATATTATGCCGCATTGACTTGAAAATAAATAGATATATCTTTTGGTTGCCGCAATCAACCATTCCCCAGCTTTTTCAGCTCAAAACCAATGAATGCGTTCCCCCAGCTTCATTTTTATGCGACGAGAATATTTTTCAACGCGTGCTAAAAAAGCACAAAATAATATATACGTACGCATACGTCAGACTGAAAAAGAAATGAATAAATAGAGATAGAAGTCATAGACAGAAGCTAGTTCTTTATCAAACGAGTCGAGTGACTGCAGGCGAG